AGGGTTTATTTAGGGGCTATCAATTCTATCCCATAGGTCTATACATCCATCCTTAACAGCACCATGATTTTTTGATTATATATCCTTGTAGTAGTATTAAAATCAAGAAATGTGAGTCCTCAAACTTTGTTCTTATTTTTCAAGAATATTTAGGCTATTTGGAGTCCCCTTTCTGTATGAAATAATTTTTACCTAGAATTTTAAAGACATTTTTTACATGACTTGTTAGTTTTGCCTTTTGTGATATAATGAAATCTAAGATTTTCTCCTAGCCCTGATATTCTGCAATTTTCATGGTGATATGGTTGGTGTTGCCTGTTTATTTTTCATTAATGATGACATATGTCTAAGATTTCATTAGCCCTGATGTTCTGCAATTTTCTTTTGCAATATAATGAAATCTAAGATTTCATTAGCCCTGATGTTCTGCAATTTTCATGGTGATATGGTTGGTGCTGCCTGTTTATTTTTCATTAATGATGACATATGCCCTTAAAAAATGGAAAATTATTTTTCATATTACATGTTTAATAACTTTTTTCTCTTCTTTTTCTCGACACTTACTAGTTGGTTGTTGGGCTTCTGGAATTGATCCTCTGATTATCTTTTCTCTCACACCCCTGCTCTTTCTGTAAATATGCCGTTACTTTAATCTACCAAACAGTATAAATATCTTTAAATTTTAAGCTCTCTTATTTTTAATCAGTTTATGTTAAACTGATTTTGAAAGTGGTTGTAATATTTTACATTCACTCTGGTAGTGTATGGGAGTTCCAGGTCTTCCACATATTCATCAATAATTGGCATGGCCAGTGCTTTAATTTTAGACATTCTAATAAGTGTGCACTGGTATGTCACTGAATTTTCATTAGCATGTCTTGAATGCATCTTTTCATATGCTTATTTGCCATTCATATATCTTAAATGCTAAAACGTCTATTCAGATCTTTTGCCCATTTTTTATTGGATTGGTTCTTATTTTTGAGTTGTGAGAGATCTTTATATATATTCTTGGGTTATATATTATGACAGATATGTAATATGTAAATATTTCTTCCAGTTTGTGCTTGTCATTTTCTTCTCCAAGCAGGGTCTTTCAAAGAGCAAATATCCTCAATTTAGGTGAAGGCCAAGTTACTAATTTTTTATGGTGTTGTACCTAATAATGTCTTGTCAAACCCAATGTCACAAAGATTTTCTCCAATGTTTTCTTCTAGAAAGTTTTAAATGCTATGTTTTACATTTAGACCCATACTATTTTAATTTATTTTGTGTACATGATATGAGGTATGGATCAAAGTTGCTTTTTTTCTTCTGCATGTAGGTATATAGTTGCTCCAGCATCATTTGTTGAAAAGTACGATCCTTTCTCCACTGAATTATCTTTATACTTTTGTTAGAAATCAGTTGCCCATTTGTGTGGATGTGTTTTTGTTCCACTGATCTATTTGTCTATTTCTATACCAGTACCACACTGTCTTGATTACTTTAGCTTTATAAGTCTTGAAGTCAGGTAGTGTCAATATTGTTGTTCCTTTTTAAAGTTGTTTAGCTCCTCTATTTCTTTTGCATGTCCGTTAGAATATTAAAATCAGGTTGTCAATTTCTTCATAAAAACCAGTCTACATTTCACATTTGGGGGCTCTTGTTAATAATGGCAGATATAAAATTTCAATCTGATTATCTGTTGCTACTATCTAAAAATGCTCTTGATTTTTTTTTTTTTGATTTTATATCCTGAAACCTTGCTAAACTTATTAGTTCTAGTATCTAGTTTGTACATTCCAGGTTTTCAATGTAGACTATCATGTTGTCTATAAAAGGCCATTTTACCTCTTCCTTTCTAGTCTCAATCATTTTATTTCTTTTTCTTTCCTTAGTGCACTAGCTTGGACCTCCAGTAGAGAAATGAATAGAAATGTCTATTTTTCCTGATGGCAAAGGGAAAACTCAGTTTCTTATTCAGTATGATATTAGCTGTAGGTTTTTCATAGATGACATTTAAAAGATTGAGGAAGTTCCCCTCTATTCTAAGTTGTTGAGAACTTTTTTAGGAATAGATGTTGGATTTTATCAAATGATTTCTCTGTACCCATTAAGATAATCATGTGTTTTTTCTTTTTTAGTTCAACATGGTAAATTACATTG